CTATGATTCTTTCTTCCGGTTTTTTTGCTGTTTACTTTTTTTTTCTCTTTTTATGTATTAAAGAAATTTTCATCATATATTAAAAAAATGCTAACTGTATATTAATAGAATGTTCAGTGTATCTTGAAAAATGTTCAATGTGTTTTGGAAATTGTTCAGCCGATATCACAAAAATCTTCAACATGTATTAATTCTTTTGTGTATATAAAAAAATGCTCAATGTGTATTAGAATTGTTTAGCGCATATTACAAAAATACTCAATTTGTGTTAAAAATTGTTCAGTGTATATATTTGTTTTCATGTTTCTCAATTTTTGTTCACTTTTTAAAAAATTGTTCCCGCTTTAAAGGTTCTATTTGCATTTTGAATTTTTTTGACATTTTCGAACATTATTCGCATTTTTTAAGAAAATTTGTTCACTGTTTTCCGAAGAAAGGTTGAAATTTTTGAAAAGATAAACAGATCTGCCACTGTAGCTAGTACTTAAGCTTTAGCGCTGCGTTTAGCAGGAGTTGCCAGCTCGAGTAGCTATCAACCATTCTCTGTAAACCGACGTTCTGAGCTCGACTCCGCGCGCCTCCCTTTTTTCCGTTAAGATTGTGCCACCTTCAGCGAAAGCTCTCAGTCTCCATCCAAACACGATTTGGTGCGTTAGTATCTCCGCAAAGAGTGGCTCCATCTCTACAGGCCAAAGCTTTCAGCCACAAAGGGATCTGGTACCTCTTCGACCCACCAAAAATAAAATTGCATCCACCATCACAGATCAAGAAGGTTATTTTGGTCAAAAGCAGCACCTAAATTTTAGAACGTTAATCCTCAGCAAACGTTCGCTACCACCAATGGCATCTGTGAGCATGCGGTTTTCAGAAAAAGCGTGGCAGTCTTTTAGTTTTTGTGCAATTTTCGTCAATAAGCGCCATCTTTTGGATCTGGATCCTGTGGCTCTGGAGCGTTCGCTTGGATCTCACCCCAGCGAATGTCAGCACCTAAATTCCTTTGATTCAACGATGACGTCACTCGCGGTATCACCAGATCCAGTGATCATTGCACGCACATGACCGAGCATTTGTATAAAATGGAAGGCACACTGATTAAGATACAATACCAAGGATCCAAATTGTACAAACAAATTACATGCATGCATGCACGATGCCCATATCTCCCAACTGCTGGCAACCTATAGCAACAGATTCAGATGCTGTCCATGCTGATACATTTACGATTTATCCATGCTGACTGAGAAGTGATGGTGGATCAAGCTGCAGGCCCTGGCTGCATGGCGCTGCTGATGGACTGCACCTGCGTCTTGCCGCTGGGGCCCTTGGTGCGCATGTACTTGCGGTAGTCGCTGAAGGTGAGGGCCTCCTGGTACAGCGCCGGCGAGCCCGGGCCGACGAGCTCCCTCGCCGGAGCGATGGGGAGGTCGCCTCGAGGGTTGCAGAAGAAGGAGATGGTGAAGCGCTCCTTGTCGGAGTTGGCCAGCGCACGGTGCTCCACGCTCCTGTAACACCCGTTGCTCAGGATCTGGAAAATCACACCAAGATATTTTAGAAGCTTCAGAATCAAGCAAAGCAGTTTTCGTAGGAGGCTCTGCTGGCTCTTTCATTCAACTTCTCTCTGCATGCATGCATGCACCCATGTCATCATCTTTTTCACGTATCTGGACTGCATGGCATGCTACTGTGTGTGTAACTGTCATCTTCTGGTGCGTGTATATGCAGATCATGCATGTCAACAAACTACTGAACTTAGTGCAGCTGGCAGGGCAAGACAGCATACTAGTATATTGATCAGTGAAGCAGTTCAGTAGTTCAGATATGTTTATGTCGAAACTTCAGAAAGTGTACAGGCTAGCTAGATCTTTCTAGAAGGTTAAAAAATTAAAATTCAAATCTTTTGATTCATTGTACTAAATCAACGACAATTAATATGGATCGGAGGGATTATCATAATTCATACAAAAAAAGGATCTTATCAACTACTCTACATGCTATCCGGATAGGGTTAGCTTCATACTATCCAGATTCTATATTGTATAGGGGTTAGCTTCATACTATCCAAATTCTATATTGTATTTAATCACTTGCAAAGAAGCCAAGAATATGTGGTACTCTTGACTTCCTTATAGATGCAAACAAATTGACATTAATTTCATACGCTAGCTTCATCAGCACAAATATATAGTGATTGGGTGTAATGAGAACGTTACTACTTTAGACAAGACAATCGAAGATACATATCACATCAGATTGACAGAAAAAAAGGTAAGTAGGCCACAGCGATCACCTGAATCTGATCACCAACGTTTACGAGGAAGGAACCTGGGACTGGTTGCACGGTGACCCATGCGTCTCCCTTGCGTACCTGTGTCCCCTCGACGTTATCATCAGTGAGGAGCAAGGTGATGCCACCGGGGTCAGAGTGAGATGAGAGACCAAGAGTGAGCTCAGGCTGTGGGCATCTTGGATAGTAGTTCACACGCATGGTAGCCGAGATGCCATCACTGCCACCAAAAGCATTATGGAGGTAGTCCTCCTCCAACCCTAAGCTACTGGACATAGCCTTGAGCAAGACTTGACAGAGACTTATTAGTTGGCATGCATACTTCTCAGTGGCTTCCCTGAATAAATACCAAAACAATATCAAATATGGACAAATAAAATAGGAAACTGTGTAACCAAACATATCAGGAAACTCTAAACTGCAAGAACTTATAAAGAATGAGGATAAATTAAAAAAATAAAATGAAGCTGGGTTTTCTCGAGAAAAGAAAAATATCATGTACCTCAGGTCAGTAGGAATCTTTGGCCACTTGTCAAGGTTTCTGATATCACTTGGGAAGAGATTAAGGAAGTAATAGTCACTCCAATCCAAGATTGCCCCTTTCTCAACTCCAAGGCGGCTTCCATAGCCCTCATATGTTACCGGTAAGTTGGCATGTACCTTCTTCTCTTCCATGGGGAGGTCAAAGAACTCCCTCCATGCACTTCTCATCCTCCTCACAGCCTCCGTGTCCACATCATGGTTCACTAACTGGAAGAAACCCCAGTTCTTGCATGCAGAGGCTATTGCTTTTAGCATTTCTTGGTGATGTTCAGGGGCATTAGAGAAGCTAGCAAGATCGATAACTGGGATGCTGAGATTAGGATCATTTGTGACATCACTAGGACGCTCAGATGGAGGCTTGATGTACTGTTGTGGCAAGGAGCTCATACCAGAGTTGGAAAGAGTTTGCACTGGTACAATGGGTTCTGGCCAGTCAAGCAGATTGCTACTTGCCATGGTGGGAGTGATAGGTCTTGGTTTGGTTATGAGAAGAGGGTGTGCGTGTTTATATAGAGAAAGGATATGTGATGTATGAGATTAAATCGCAATGCATTTAGTGCAATTCATGGTGGGATTGGAAGGATATATATGTACAGATTGGACAAGATTATGCTCATTAAGAGATATGCCTCATTTATCGTCTGAATATTGATAAAATCTTTTGGATATATACATATAATTAAAATCTTTTGGATACAGTTTTGTAAGCCATTAATGGAAGATACAATCTTATGGATACAGTTTTGTATGCCATTAATGGAAGATACAATCTTATGTAGTGAGCTAATAATAATAACATTTATTTTCTTCTTGTTCGTGCAAGTAATCAACATATGATATGTAAGCATATAATATATTTCCTTTCGAAACGCTAATGTAAAAGTGGGGAGAATACGATATTATTTCAGTAATTTAACTAGGAGTATGATATATCAATACATAAACTTCAAAAGGTATTAGAGTGCATTTTGTTTTGTTCAGTTGAACTGTAAATTTTTTGCTCGTAGACATGATTTAATAGATATTATACTGTTAACTTATAAAGTTTCTGAACACAGGTATGAGTTAATCGACGTCATTGTTACCCTTTTTAATGAGAGCCGGCCACACAAAATTTACTAAGGCAATAGTAATTGTATTTGCAATTCTAAGTGAACTTCATTTTCGTGATTGACCCTTGAAGAAACAAACTAGAAAAAAGGATGCAGTATTTCTTTGTTTTGATATCACTATAGACATGTGATCAATTGACCATTTCAGATAATGCTTGCACATAGTCAAAACCAAAGAACAACACATATCAATTGATAGGGACAGAATTGGTTGCAGATAGTAGGAGAGAAATTGCATTTTGAAATTAAACTTGCTGAGCTTTAGAGGTTTTAGTTATCCCAGTGGAGCAGTATATATTGCTGACTAGGAGGAATAATTTTTCTAAACTAGAAATGCATGATCTATTTGATGGCATGCATGTTAACATATTTTTGCAGATCATGTATGCACTCTGACTTCTGAGCATATTTTGATGCATGTTCTATTTCATAGTGAAGTAATAACAGCAGACAGTTGATTTACTTGTATGTTCTAGTAAATTAAGGTTATAGTATTTATTTAGAACAAGGAGATGTACCCCAGAAAACCCGGCAAAACATGGGCAGCTACTTGGTTCCCCCAGGTCCATGGGAGGATTGGATAAGGCAATTAAGAAAACAATACACACGTGCTGAAATGAAAGTCAAAAAAATCGGCAAATGACATGGTTATGCATAACATCATGTCATCAATATCAAATTAGGTGTACACACACTACAATTGATGTATATTTAATTATTTATACATATGAATATATGATAAAGATTGCCCGACATGTACACTCATAGTTACAATTAGCTAGGCAGTTTTGGTTGGCACTATGCATGAATATCTCATTGCTGATGTAAACAAAGCATCCAAGAGAAATCTCACCGTTTCACATGCAGTACGTAGGCACATCTATCAATCGATCAATGAGGTGTCTGTCAGGAGGAACTAGTTTGCAGGTAACTATTTGCCAGCAGGAAAGGAATTACGGCTGGACCTTAATTACCTAGTCAAGAAGCACGACAAATTAATGTGTACGTGTGTCAGATAATACCAGCAAATCAATCAAACACATGTTGCATTGAACATTTGAAACAAGATACCTAGAGCCGACAGCGACGATGGCCACACATCCAACAAGCAGTTCTGTGAAGCAAACACTTATCTGCAAGAAAGTGATGCTACATCATGCAGCTCGGCTAACAATAGATTGGCATTGCTAATATTATTACGATTGCTATCAGTACAATTTCGTAACACTTTGTGAGGCTTATGCATACTTATGAGAGAAAATAAGAGTAATCATAGATTATGGGTACAAAGAGTCCAGTAAGACATTAGTAGCTAGCTCCCCTAGTTGCATGGCAGAATAGATGGTGCAAATTAAGAAAACAGAATGCACATGTGCTGAAATGAAAGTCAAGCAAATCGTCCAATGATATGGTTCCGGTAGCATCGACATCAAAGATGTACACCAGTTCAGCAAAGCGACAGCAAAGCAAAGGATAAAACAGATCTGGAGCAGTATCAAAATTGCCAAACATGCCTAGTCAGAATATACGAAGAACCGTGTGCCATTATTCTTGATCTAAAACAAAGATATGGGGCCTACCTCATCGACCACCACACCGGTGAGGTTGCGGGCGATGGTGAATCAAGGAGATCAGTGGCTGGCCAGGGCGACAGCAAAGCTAGGATGAGAGCGACCTTGGTTAAACAGTCAATTCCCACATGTTAATATGGAGTAGAATAATACTGTGTGCGGTGCGTCAGCTAGACCAGCAAATCAATGCAACACATGTTGTATTTTTAGTCAACTCGTCGCACGCATTAGCAACAGCAACCGCAGGCTTTGGCTCCTTCTAGTAACATTTGAGCTGGCACGGAGCAGCAAGCAAGCACGGAGCATTCAGAAGCAAACACTGACTGACCAACGCACTATGTGTGATTCAGAAAGAAGGAACACGGAACACATGTGGACTGCCGCGGCCGTCGATCCACCTTCGCCGCCGGCCGGCCGCCCGCCCACATGTGGTCATCTCCGCGTGGCCTCCGTCTCCTCACCCAAGTACCCAGCACGGAAGCGCCGCCCGGACCTCTTGGCCTCCGCGGCCATTGCCGCCGAGCTCTGTGTCCGTATCGTATAATCAGCCCCATCACGCATGCCCAAATCAAAACCCCGGTAAAAGAACGATCAAGGGAACGTACATTCTTGCGCGTACCATCTTTGATTAGGTAGTTGAAGAGAGGTGGTGCCGGCCTTGAGCCCGCGCCGGTTCCCCTGCCGCCGCCATGGATGCCCACAGGCGGCGGCGCTGGAGGAGCTGTGATTTTGGGGCACCCTTATTTCTCGCTTTAAGCGAGCACAGGGGGATGCCTCGCGTCGAGGGGAGCCCAGATGGGCCGGCCCAGTCGCGCGGGAGGCAACGGCTTGTTTTTTTTTGGCTCTTTTTTCTGTTCTCGTTTTTGCTTTTTTCGTACTTTTCTCTATACTTTACAATATTTTACACATATATATATATATATATATATATATATATATATATATATATGCAAAAAACACTCTTCAAAAACACATTTAAAAAATGTTGAATAGTATTAAAAATGTTAAACAAATATTTAAAAAATGTTGAACAAGTATTCGAAACTTTTGAATAAGTATTTGACAAATGTTAAATAAGTATTACAGATTGTTGAATGAGTATTTGAAAAATATTGAACGATTATTAGAAAATTTTGAATAAGTATTAAAAATGTTGAAAATGTATTTGAAATTTTTTGAACATGTATTTGAAAAATATTGAATTCGTATTAAAATGTTGACCAAGTATTTAGAAAATGTTGAATAGGCATTCGGACAATGTTGAACGTGTATACAAAATTGTTGATCACTTGTTAAAATAATGTTTTTGACATATACGAAAATATAAGTGAAAACGAAAACAAACATAAGAAAAAAAGGAAAAAATGGAGAAGAAATGTTGGATGCGTATTTGAAAAATGTTGTTGACATATACAAAAAAATGTAGAATAATAACCAAAAGAGCAAAGAAACCCGAAAATAGAAACAAAATAAACACTGGAAAAATAAACAAAGAAACAAAATGCAAAAAAGAATGAAAAATCGGAGAAGAAAAAAGAAAAGAGAATTAAAATAACAGAAAGAAAAAGGAGAATAAAGAAAGCCAAAGAAAATAGAAGGAAAATTAAAAAAAACTGGAAAAACTGAGAAAGAAAATGAAAAAAAGGCTCAACTCACATAAAGCAGGTCGTGTCCCTTGTACACTAATCCGCTTTAGAAGAAGCGGCTATTCTATTGGACTGCTTGGCTGTAAAGCCTATAAGTAAGAACTCTGGGAAAGAAATCCGAACTCCAAGGCGAGCGCACAACGAGGAATTTTCCATACTAGATCGACTCAACATTACCGAGTCTACTCTGAGACTCTCTTCTCTTCATGGTTGGTTGTAAAAAGAGAGTCACTTTAGTCCCCAACCCCTTGTACTAACCACTAGTGGAACGTGGTCGTAGTGGCTAGCAGCGCGCTTGTTATCGCTTGCCAGGGATCAATCCTCTTGTCTTTTACTTTAGTGCATGCGAACGGCGAATGGGCCGGCCCAGTTACTTCAAACCTTCATCAAGACTTCTCTGGCAACTCGCTCAAGGGGATAAATAGTCGTTGCGGTGAATTTGAGCGACATGCCAAATCTTGCTGGGCTGCAATGTAGTCCAAGTTCACACCGTATCCCAAGTTGAAGATAGTCCCCTCGAAAAAAAATTCTAAGATCCGCCCGCTGGCGAATCCTATTTGGCGTTGCATGCGCTCGTTAATGTGTATTCTGCAAACAGGCACCTGCAGCCACGTTTATTGGGCTCGGCCCATTAGTACTTTTTTTTTTCTGTTTTCAAAGAAGTAAAAAATGCGCGGGTAGAGGGGATCTAACCCGCGACCCCTTCGCAGCAAGGGTTACATACTAACGATCACGCCACCATACAGCTTGTGCAAGTCTATTTCCCTTCTTTCTTTTATTTACTTCTTCAGTTTGTTTTGTTTTTTTATCCTTTTCTGTTTGCTTTAATGCATGATTTTTTCTCAAATTTCATAAACCTTTTTTCTAAATTGATGAAATTTTTAAATTAGATTATTTTTAAGAAATTTGAGAACATTTTTACAAATTTGATGAACTTTTTTCAATTTTGATGAACTTTTTAAAAAATGTTGAACTTTTATTCAAATTTGATGAACAGTTTTTTCAAATTTGATTATTTTTTTGTTGAAAATCAATGAAGTTTTTACAAAATCAATGAACTTTTTTTGAAATCAATGAACTTCTTTCAAATTTGATGATTTTTTTTCTAATCGATCAAATTTTTTGTT